TAAATTTCTATTTTATACAATCTTTTTCATAAGTTGTTTTTTTCTTTTTTACCTAATTCTGTTCTAAACTGCAAATTTTAATTAAAATTTTTGCAGTTTTACTTTGTAATAATCCTCTTTTCCTTTTTTTGTCGTTTCCTATATTTTTTGAGTTATAACTTGTCTATTTTTACTTTTAATTAGCTTTTTTTAAACTATCCTCTTGAAAATACGTTTTCTTGATTCCTCTTTTATCGAAATCTGCTTTTTTCACTTTTTTTACTTATTTCTCGGTTTTGTTATCTTTGAGAATTTTTATATAATTTGTTTTATCGGAACTTTCTTATTTCATAAACATTCTTCTATTTTCAACATCTTTTTTATTTTCTATACATTTTTTTTCTATCGTCTAACATTCTTTCTTTCATTTTGTCTTAATTCATTAATTTTTTATTCAATTTCTCAATAGCAGGTTGTTTATATTAAAATAAATTAGGAATTATGGAGAAAATTAGATGAAATCATGAGGAAAAAGTCCTTGAATAAAAAATTTAATCGAATTTCGGACTCCATACGCTTGAAATTTCAAATTTGATGGATTAAGCTCAACGAAGCGAAAATAAAACTCGCAACAAAATTAATTAAGACGACACTATATCTGAATTAAATCAAATTAATAGACAGATGTTTGTAATTAATTCCATTTCAAATGTGAAATGAGTTATAGACGCAAACTCTAGCGCAGATTATCGATGATTTATAGTTAATTTCGCAATTATTAATACACAAAATGACATAAAGCTCTCATTGTACAATGAATTGTTTGCGATAATTGAAATAAATTTCACTAAACGAGAAAATTTTACTAAATAAAGCTTGTTATTGCATGTATTGAGTCAATGAACATCTGCGTCCGACAATTTACTCGCAACACGAATATTTAATATGTAAACCACACAAGTTTCAAGTGTTTTATATTCATTGCTTCAACTCCGGAAAAAATTCCGGTGCATAAAGCTCGAGCTTTTACTGTAATATCTAAGGATCGGATTATATGCAAAATGCATATTTGACATTAAGAGGTATATCAACAAAATTGTAAGTATTCTATGCATATCTAATGTTTTTTGATTAAAATAAGCTAAAAAAATGCATATTTTGCATATTTTGGCAACTTGGTGCATATTTTCTTCAAATCACTAATTTCCGATTAAAGATTTCAGTTCAAGTTAAAAATTGGACAGTTTAAGAAAAATAAT